CTCCGGAAGCGCCGCTTCGGCGTCTGCTGGATGCAGAGCGCGAGGAACAGGACGGCCTTGGCCGTCTGCGCCGGGCGGCCGGAGACGAGCGCGGTGTGGAACGTCTGCTCGGCGCGCGGCACCTGGCCAGGCCCCAGACGGTCCGCGTCGCCGCCGGGGGGGTAAAAGTACGGCGGCCATGTCGGCCAGTACTGCTGCGTGGCGTCGAAAAAGGTCGCCACCCGCTCGGGCTGCGGCAGGTAGGGCGCGAACTGGGCGAGGCACTGGCGCAGGCGTGCTGCGGCGCTCGGCGTGAGGAGCGGCGGGCGCGCGTCGGCGTAGGTGATGGGGTCGAAGATGGAGGACTCGCGGAAGAGGCTGAGCAGCGGGGAGTTTTGCAGCGCCGGGCTGATCTGCGCCGCGTCGACCAGCGGCGACGGGCCCGCGAGAGGGTGCTGCAGAAGCACGCCGGCTACAGGGGGTGGTGGTGGACTCGGGCCGTGCGGCGAGGCCGAGGCAGCGGTGCTTCCGTCCGTGAGCGCGGCGTCGGCTCCGTGGGCGCTGGCCGGCCGTCCTGCTGCCGGAAGAGCGCGCATCAACATCTCCAGCTCGTCCAGGCGCTTCTTGAGCACCGCGACGTCGTCTGCGCCCGAGGACGGGGACTCGTCGCCGCGGCCGCCCGACTTCTCCTGCGCGAGGCAGCTGCTGCCGTGCGCCTGGCAGGCATCGCACCGGTCCTGCCCCGGCGGGCGGATGCACCGGACCTTGCGCCGGCGGCACTCGGCGCAGCTCTTGGTGCCGAGGCGCATGCGCTTCCCGGTCGTGCTCATGCCCGCCCGTCGTTGTTGTGGAGAAGGGGGGGGGGGGGGTTCTCAACGGTGCTGTTGGCTTGGTAGAATGACTGGCAGCTTAGCGCTACACCATGGATTTAGTGACCCCGGTAGCAATTGCAGCGATCCAATGGAAATTGTCGGTTTGCCTTTTGACGACGCAATCTGCTGAGAGAGATGATGAAATCATTGTGCAGCCGAGTTCGGACGACTCGGACGAAGGTGTTAATAATTCAGGGTGGGGCCGAGTCGAGAGTGAGAAGAGGAACTGATAGTGTTGCTTTGGCAAATACTGTTAATTCTCAGCGGATAACTAATCGAATTTATTTTGTAGATCTTGATTCACTTGTCGTGGCTGATGTGCTAATCTGGCAGAGTTCCAGTCTATATAAGACCTTGCCTTGGACCACTCACGAACCATCGTATCAATTGATACACAACTTACAACACAGCGATTATACATATATATATTATCACATTTACACTCTACCTCATCACCTTTCAACACACCCATCGCAATGACTACACAGACCGAAACCCTCGTGGGCATCGAAAACCACGTCCGCACCAACGTCCCGGCCAACATCCGCGACCTCATCTTCTCCGCCGTCGACGACCTCGCGGCCACCTTTGACCTGTCCGCGGTCATCAAGCCCGGCACTCCCTTTCCCGGCTTTACGCTCTCCAACGCCGTCGGCGCCGACGTGTCCCTCGACGGCCTCCTCGCGGGCGCCGACAAGGGCGTGCTCGTCACTTTTTACCGCGGCGAGTGGTGTCCGTACTGCAACACGGCGCTGTCCTTTCTGCAGCGGCACCTGGACGACTTTGCCGCGCGGGGCGTGACCGTGGTGGCCGTCTCGCCGGAGCTGCCCAACACGTCGCTGACGACGGTGGACAAGCACGCGCTGCGGTACGAGGTGCTCTCGGACCGGGGCAACGGCGTGGCGCGCCGGCTCGGGCTCGTCTGGCGCCAGTTTGACTCGCTCGGGGAGGTGTCCCGCGCCTTGGGCGTCGATCAGGTCGCGCGCAACGGGGACGGCTCGCGCGAGCTACCGGTGCCGGCCAATATCATGATTGACAAGACCGGCGTCATCAGGAACGTGCATGCCGACCCGGACTGGAGTAAGAGACTAGAGCCGAGCACGATGCTACAGTGGGCCGATGCTTTGTAAATAAGGATTGAATATATATAATGCAATGGATTATCCAATAGTCTATAGAGTATGAAGTATGTACACTTGAAATTTACAAGTTGAAAATGTCCATTAGATTCTTTGCCGTGTCGCGCATGACAATTTGCATGTCATTCTTTCCGGCGTCAACATTGACCGATTCATGCGTGGTCTTATTGTTCCACTGCGTCTCCCACTCCCTCAGTTTCTTCTTGAACACGTTTTGGTCATATTCTTTGGGGTCCGTCGCCACAAGGTAGTCAACAAACATCTGCCAGCGGTGAGCATAGTAGTTGCCAACGAGGCCTGCCCACTGCTTAGAGGCGTAGTCCTCAATCTCGCCGTTGGGGCCCCAGAGCGTGACCTGGTTGCGGGCGTTGTACTCGAAAAAGTCAGCAGCCTCGCCGCCGCTCTTACGGGCCGCCTGAATCCAGGTGGATAGTTTAAAGCTGGGGTTGGTGTCGAGTACCTGGTCCATTGTCTGGAGGATCGCCTGAAGTCTGTCGCCGGCGCACTTGACGCCCTTGGTATTGTTGCTCTTGTACTTTTCCACGAGCTTATTGTACGTCGCCTCGAAAGCGTTGGCGAGCACCTGGCGGGTCCAGTCGGTGAGATCGTAGCGGTAGGCTTCATTGTCAAAAAGCCACCTAGCCTGATCACCAGCGCTGAACATGTCGTTCCAGGCGCTGATGAGCGTCTTTGTGTCGTAGGTGATCTTGGTGGGGTGGTGGCCGGTTCGGTTGACTAGACCGCTGATGCTGGGGGCCAGCTCAAAGATGGACTTGGTAACTGCTGTGACGGAAGAATCGGTATTGTTGTAGACGGTAGAGCGGACCTTGTCCCAAGCAGTATACAGATTCTCGGGGATCTCTTTGTGATCCGCTCCATAGCGAACCGTAACCCAGTCAGAAAAATACTTGTCGGTCTCAATAGCCTCCTTTCTCCATGCTTGGTCAAGCAAAAGATCGTACATGATTTCGTTGCCTTCTTGGCCCTCCATGGACAGGCCGAATCCAACAATAGATTTGGACGTTTGCACGGCCTCGACAGCATTCTTGGTGACGTTTTCAATCTGGCCGTAGAGACCCATGTTGCCTCCATAGTCGTGTAGCTGACACCAAATCCAAGGCTTGCCGTAGAAAGACTCTGTGCGCTGCCACTGCGGGGTGGACTCGGCGAAAAGATCAAGTAGAAGCATATCCTCGTTGACCGGGACACCATCCAAGAAGGACTTGACGCGATCATCGATCCAGTACGTCTTATCTGAAGCAAACAGCCAGCCCTGCATGACCCATACAGCGCTGGGATCGGCCGCCTTGAGTGTCTGCCAGGTGTTGTGGCTGACGTTCTTCAGGTAGTCGAGCTCGCCCGAGGCAGGCTTATTCTCGTTAAATTGGTCAAGCGTCCAGAAGCTAGTCACATTGCCATAGGCTTCGTTTTGCTTGGTGAGGAACGCTTTTTGCAGCTCGGCAAAGTGCGGATCGTACGGTGTGATGTACTTGTCTGCCGTGAAGCGACCGGAGAAGCCGCTCCATATGGGGCTCTCGGCTAGGCTGACATTGGGCCAGACGCGGGTGATGTTTTCGGGAACGAATCCAGGAAAGGCGGGTAGAATTGGTGTCATACCGAGCTCTATCATGCGCTTGACAATCTTTTTTTGCAGTTCGAACTGGTCCTCGATCCAGGCTTGGGGTAGGTCGCCGCCCCAGGATCCCTGGATGTTGCCAAAGTGCTGCCATGCCAAGAACGCAGGACCACTGAGGAAAGAGCTGATTTCTTCCTGGGTGAGACCAATATCGCGGAAGACATCAGTGAAGATTTTCTCGACGCCGATCCAGGCAAGAGCGAGGTTGACACCGCGTAGGGCCATCCAATCGAGCTGGAGCTCCCAGTCCTCCCATGACCAAAAAGCGCTCGTATATGAGGTGGTTACTATCAAAGTGTTAGATCGCATTCATGACCGCAAGATTGGTACGACTGACCTGTATTCCAGTGGTAACGAAAACGGACGATGCTGGAGCCCTCGAGGGGCTGGACTAGGCGCGGAAGCGCCTTGGGGGCCTTGTCCAGCTCGCTTCCTACAAACCACCAAATATCAACATGAGCGACATCTGCGAGGTAACGATGCAGTCTGCACGTGGTTTCATGGTCAGATAATCAAACGTGCCAAGTCCAGGGCGGGATGTCCGCCTCATTATGCGCATCTAGCCGGATGCTCGTTGTGGCGCAAGACTCACCCCTGCATGATGGCGCTCGGCGAGGTGCCCTGAATGTGAATCTTGCCATTGCCGCCGCTTGACACGTTGTAGCTGTCATTGGCCGCAATGGAGGCCGAGGGGGCTTTTGCTATGCTCACTTGGAAGCTGTCAACATGGTCCGGCAGCCTGCGTTTGATGAAGGCTGTGACGCCGTCGGTGGAGGACGTAGAGGCGGCCGCGACGTCAGTGACGGCCAGCAGGAGCCATGCGAGTTGAAAGAGACGCATTGCGGCTGAAACCAAGACAAAGGCTGTCTATAGCCAAGAAGCCTCGGGCACTGCTATCGCGAGGCGAAAAGTTGGTAGTCGTTGAGGATGCGCAGAGAGTTCTAGACGGGAAGGCTACCTATGCACAAACAACGGACGACGCTAGTGGTCAACAAGCCACACCAACAACAACGGTGCCACTTAGAGGCGCGGGAACCCCCACGTTGTCTTTTCAACTCGTGCCAACCTCAGGCCACGGAAAAGCGACAAGTAGCCATTTCAAAAGCCTATTCACTTCGACATTACGCAACACCTTGACCCGGCTACACCGGTCAGCTCAGCTCAGCTACGCAGCTGTTTTGTGTGAAAGTCAGCACTACTTATGCGACGGGGTAGAATTGGAGTAGACTCCAGGGTACGCCAGGAAACGAAGGCATCGTGAGGATTGCATGAGAGGCTTGCGGATCATTACAAAGCAGAAGTGGTGTAACGTCAATGGGCCATTTGTTGTCATATTCCAGAATGGTGTTTGTCACAAAATGACTGTCATCTTTACCTATTTTCCCCTGCCCGGATCTCATATGTCTACGCAAGCATGACCCTTGGTGTATCAGAGTGCGAACGTGTCAGTGTTCTGGCTGGCAATATGCAGGAATGCGCTCGGCAGCAAAAAACGAAACCCAGCTGCAATGCTAGGCATCAAAATCCCCGAAACGCATGAGAGATACTCAAATCATTGATGCTTTTGTGCGTTGGCTCCGGCCATGGCAATGAATCCTCGACAAATGCACGTGACGGACAACTATGACGTTGCCCTATCCAAACTAAAACTCGCGCAAACGCAACACTGAACGCTGGGGTCGTATGAAACTTGGACAAAGCATGGAACCGCGCGCTACGGTGTTCAACCGGGCAGCAGTGTTGACTGAGCTTCACTATGATATGTTTGAAGCCAAACCTACAAGTGCCGCATCCAATTTGTTTCTGATCAAGAGTCGCGACAGAAGAGGAAACAAACCCACAGGGTCCGAGCGAGCAAGCGAGCCTTCGTCCCATATCTCATATCTCATATGGCCATGACGATAACCTGCCTGCGGGTTAAAGCAGGTTGGACGATTGGAAACGGCTGGCTAGGGCACAAGGCAACACATTGGACAGCTTGGGCATGCTGACGGGAATTTGGTAATTGACACTGAATCCAGAAGCAGAATGCCCATCTCGGGGCCCTGTGCATCGGAATAGTCGGAGGCCGGGAACTGGACAAAAACGTGTTGGCGTGTGGGCAGTCTAGCAAGGCAGCCAGGCACAGGTGGGGGTTTAGCTTTGCTGACATGCAACATGGAACGGCCGGATGCAAGCAAGAGGGTCCGAGCAGGAATAACTAGGTGGTTTTTTTTTTTTTTTTTTTGACATTAACGATGAACAGTGAGCAGTATTTGGAGTGTTGGTGCGAATTTGAGGCAGGTTGGCCGGGAATTATGTACCATTGATGGACATTATATCTCTTGATTAGTACCTACCTATCTACTATATCCATATGTACCTACGTCACAGGCAACCCACTTTGGGGGCTCAGGGGAACGAACGACCTGATAGAGGTACTGATAACGCACGACTGACAAGATACGGGCAAGAATGCGACGAAATGCGATGAGCAAAGAAAGAGAGAAGGACGCGCACACAACATCTAAAATGCAAGCACCCCACAAAATCAAAAAGGGAGATCTTGGCGACTCACAATCAAACTAGGAATACTCCTAGGTAGGTACACAAGCACTCGAGCAAGCAAGCAAATGACACCAGGCCACTATGCATCCACCAAAAGACTCAGGCCGCCCACTTTCCCAGGCACAAGTACTCAGCTTGTTCCCCGAGGGGCTTGGTTCAAGGTCAGTGCTCAGGACCCTGCCTGAGAAACCCTTTCACAGGGCAAAGAGGACACTGGAGAGCAGCAAGCGGCGCTGTCAGGCCAAGCCCGGGCACTCACGGGACACTCTGCGGCTGCAACGTATTTTTTTTTTTAGCGGACCGGCCCCCTAGAATCATGGGTACCGTAGAATACAACAGCCCTCCGGCCCTGCCGTCACCGCCACCCGCGTCGCGCCGCACAGGCTGTGGACAGACAAGCGACAAGCAAGAGGCTGTGCTTCCTTTTTCTCTCCTTCCTTACCTATCCCCTTCTTCTTTTCCCATTGTCCCTCGAGTCCTCCTCTCTCGTCATCCGCCCGCCTCCGCCTCATCCTCGAATGCGCCATCTTGTCTGGGGTTCACTCTGAGGCTCCCCCTGTTTTTAGGCCATTCGTTGACGGATAGCTTTTCTTCATTTCTTCTTCCCGCATCATCATCGTCGCCCGAGGCCGAGGTTGACAGCGGCTCCTTACCTCCCAGGCGAAAATTCGACAACCGTTCTCTCGATCCCTCTTCTTCGCCACACGTCACTCTTTTTTTCCCCGACATTTCTCGACATTTACACTCATTTATCCTATCAGACTTGTGCCTACTATAGTGGCCGCTACGACGCCGCTTTGATACGCTGCAACGCCGTTCATTTGCGCCAACCAACACATTGGGCCTTTTAATTTGCTCTCGCTTTCTACTAGAACGCATCAATTAGAATTCTAATTCGACCGATACGCGATATTCATTCAATTTTTCGTCTTTTCAATTTTTTTACGAGCTTCCTCATACAATATTCAACCGCGCGACGCTTTGGCTCTGGCAGCCTTCATTTCATTCGCGCTAGTTAGACGGCTCTCGCTGGCAGTCGCCTCAACCTTACCCGATCTGAAAGTCCTGGTCAGCCGACACATAGGATACGCCTCCTCTCGACGATTTATTCTGCGCGCTGCGCCATTGCTGCTTCGCCCCCTCACCTGACAACTTGATCGACCCCAATTAAGCGCTTGACACTGTCCAAGCGTCTCTGTATTACACCACGCCCGTCGCCTTGCTCAACACGGTCAACTCTATTTTTGGGACTCTGACTGCAAATTGCGCCTCTGCGACCAACGCAAAATCGGAATGATCCTCTAATAGCTCTCACGAAAGTCGTCCTTGCTTGTACGATCCGCCTTCGTCACGATCCACCCCTGCGACGTATTCGGCTCGTCTACACCACCGGTTCGACTTCGTCAACGTCAAGATGTCTTACATCGATGTCGCAATGGCTCGCAGCTTGCGGCCGACTGCCTGGGAAGCAATCACCGATGTGCTTGCCCGAAATCTCGTCGCCCAAGCTCATAAGCGCAACCTAGTTGGTGATGCGCAACAGAAAGTTGGCGATGTCAAAACTGCTTTTTCGAGCTGGGATAACTGCATGCAGGTCGCCTACTGCAAGTATGTGTCCCTCGTAATCTAGACTCACTTGTACCGCATTGCTGACTTTTTACCTAGGTGGCCTGTCATCGCAGTCATAATCATAGGCAGCCTTATTATCTTCTCAATTCTGTGGTGCATCGTCCGCTGCGCTTGCTGCGCCAAATCGTGCTGTTGTGGCTGCTTCAGGTGCTTCAGGTGCTGCGGCAATTGCTGCGGATGTTGCGACCCTCCGGGCGGCCGCAAGCACAAGTACCTTGACGAGCCCTACATTCCTCCTCATCATGGCTACCAGCCACAGGCTCCCATGCAGCCCTCTTTCCACCCGCCGCCTCCCCAGCAACACCAGGCACAGCAGTATGCCTCTTTCGATACGCCAAAGAATCAAGATGCCCTGCCGCAAATGCCTAGCTGGGATGGCGCTGGATCCAGAAAGGTCATGGTCGAAGAAGAAGTCAACGCTGTCGAAATGAACCATCTCAAGAAGCCATCACCCGACCAACACACAGGCACCCCTGCAGTTAGCCCAATAAATGGCGACGGCCGTGGCCCTCCTAGTCGTGGACCTGGCGGCCCTGGACGAGGCTACATGGCTAATAATACTGCTGCAAGCCCCGGTGGATATGGGCATCGTCCCGTCAGCCCTCTCAATGAAGCAGGACATGGTAGCAACCACGGCTACAACCAAGCTGGCCCCGGCGGCCCGGGTGGCTATGGTAATACTGGCTACAACAATGCTTACAACCAAGGCCCAGCCCAGAACTTAAACCCGCCTCACGATTATAATGCCGACCGCATGTCAGATGGCTATGGACTTGACCAGCCATACGACTCGCATACCATGCATGCTGGTGGACACGGGGGCGGTCACTCTGGTGCAGTCATGACCGGCGCAGGGCTGGCCGGTGGTTTGGCCGGTGCTGCTCTTGCCGCTGGTGCCATGCGCCAGCAGTCTCCCGCGCCTGGATCCCGTGGTTATGCCACGCCGCAACATCAACCGGTATCTCCATATACCGAGCTCTCTGCAGAGCCCAATCCATTCAACACACCAGAAGGTGGCTTCATCGAGATGCCGAATGAACCTCGTCGCATGGAGCAGCCCCAAGTCCACGTTCACGCTGCCTTCGCTGAAATGTCTGCCGCCCCCACGGCCAAAACACTTGCACATGAAGAGCCCAAGAAGGACCCAGAACCCATGGCGTACGAGATGGGCACTGACCAGGTAGCCCCAATTGAACTTGATGGTGGTTACGTTGGGCCGGTCCAAACAAAGCATGCCGAGGACTCGCCCTACGCTCATACCGCTGAGCTCGCTGCTCAGCCTGCCCATAGTCCTACGGCTCAGTCTCAGCACGATGCACCCGGATATTTTGATTCTCAGCAGCAACCTGTTGGAAGTGTAGCTCCTGGGCAGTATGGACAGTACGGCCAGTCTTCTCGTCAAGACAGTAGGGACAACAGACCAACCGCAGATGACTACGGAATGAGACGTCAACGCACTGAGGATAATGGGGCACCGACTTCTATGGGCACCCAGCCACCCTATGGCATGGATCCTCGGATGAGAAACTCTCCTGGTCCTAGATCTCCAGGCCTCCGCGGCTCTCCCGGCCCTGGCGCTGGTCCTCGGCGCGGACCCGGTCAACGACCTGACCAGGCCTTCAGCCCCTCGCCTCTCACCGACAGTCCATATAACCGTTCTGCCTTGAACCAGAGCCCTGGCCCTGCCCGCACATACTCGCCCGCCCCTCGCCAACCGCGCAGCCCCGATCACAACTTGCCAATCGGCCGACCTAACGGGCAGACGGCGTTTGCTGAACCCCAGCCGCAGTCGCCCATTACCAACAATGGCGGGTTTGACTTTACCTCTGGCTTCGCGCGACCACAGACCGCAAACAGCGAACGGCGGCAGCCGCCGCCGCAACAACACAGCTACCAGGGGCAGCCTCGGCCGTATAACAACCAGGCCCAAGGTGGCTGGGGCGGATACTAAATGAAGAAAAAGGAAAGCCATTCCGGAGATAGGATGGATCCTAACCTTAAAAACAGAAGCGGAATCAGCAACCGATTCATAAAGGCTTGCTTTTCGTGAGCTATGGGCTGTTTCTCATCAACCTAATGGGCGTACATTGATTCGGGTTGGAACAAACCAAAATTTGCATATACTCTGTATATATATATATACCTGGCGTTGTCTGTTGTTGACGGGATTTTCATTCTTTTCACCCTGATGATACAATTTTTTCTTGTCTTTTTATGTCTATTGTTTCATCTATCCTTGTTCAATTCAAAATGAGTACTCTTTTCTTTACACGTGCTGCACTTTTCCTCTTTGGCGTGACGAGTCAGCGTCGCCGCTGTGCGTGGCTTTCTGACTGGCGGCGGAGCAAGTCGCCTAAAACGATTTGCATTACTCTTCTCACCCAAGGACAGGTTCTCTCAACCAACAGTCTTGGTCGCTTAAGAAGTAGAGTCACGTTGCGATGGGAAACATGTACGCATGTTATGTTGAGCCCTGTGATGTAATCGCTCTTTCTGTATATCTTGGGCTATTCTATATAACACAAGCGCCTCTCTCCCCTAGGCCTCTTTGAAATAGTATGCAATACCAAAACTCCCGCATTGATGGAAACCAAAAGGGCGTAGACCAAGAAAGCAAATGCAGGGAGAACAAGTAACCAAAAAAAAACCGAGGGAAAATGATCGCTGTATTCAAAGTGCGCTGCGGAAATCTCCACGTGCCGTAATAGTATATAGGTGGTTCATTCTTTAGGTAATAAATTCGTCGTCACTGGTGTCGACGGCTTGGCGTCGGTGGCTGATGAGCTACTGCCGATAATGGTGTTCGCATCACCGTCCAGGTCCGGATCGTATTCTTCGCTGTTGGCGCCAGCTCGGCCCGGGTTCTGGGGTTTCATCGTCCTAGTCCTAACGGACGACTTGTCCACTAGCGGTGCCTCGTCGTCAGCATCGCCGTCGCTATCGACATCTTGAAGTTCGTCGTCGTCGGGGCGAAGCGGGCGGAACTGGGCGCGCTCGTCGTCGTCTGACAAGTCGGCCTCGGAAAAGGGCTTCTTGATGAAGGAGTCGATGATGTAGTACTGCATGGCGTTCATGATGAGGGGAAAGATCATCATGACAAAGGCAATCTGCAGCTTCTCGTTGCCCTCGGTCCAGCTGAGCGCCCAGTCGCCGACTGTGGAGATCCAGGGCATGGTGATGAAGATGACGAGGACGCAGATCTTCATGAGGAACAGGCCGCAAAAGTATATGACGGACTGCTTGAGCCACCACCACGCGCTAGGCGGGTTGCCATAGTGGCCGGACTGGATCGACTCGCGAGGCTTACCGACAGGTGTCAGGGCGACGAGAGCAGTCAAGAGGTGGAGGAGACCGATGAGGATGGGGATACCGAGGGTGGTCTGGGGCCGCTGTTAGCATACATGGGACGCGGCATAGACTCGGAGGGAGGGGTTCTGCTCACATCGATGCCCAAGTTGAGCAGGTAGAAGGAACAAGGGTTGGGCATATACGGGGCCGCAGCGGCCGAGGCGGTGGTGGTACGGCCGACGATGTTGGTGACCGTGATGGAGAAGCGGCCGCTCGTGAGCATCGACATGAAGATGTTGGCGATGTGGACGAGCACCGAGCCAAAGACCTGCTTGGAGGCGTCAAAAGCCCAGACCTTGACCGGCCGCTGCGGGCGCTCCCGCCAACGCTTGTAGACGAGCGCCAGCAGGGCCAGCCCGCCAAGCGCAGCCTGCACGAGCAGGGCAAAGGAGCCGAGCAGCTGGCACTCGCCCTCGGCGCCGCCCCCGGACGACGGCGGCGGCGTCGAAGTGGGCGAGGCGGCGGCGACGAAGAGTATCGATGTGGCTGTCGTGGTGGTAGGTAGAAAGCTGGAGGAGAGGGCAGTGACGAAGCTGTCGGGATGGTCGACGCCGATGGCGGCTGCTCGTAGAGCGTCCATGACGCTATCGTTGGGAGGCCCGAATGCAATCGGGGGGGAGAGAGTGGCTTGGGTATAGTGATGGGGGCGGCGTGGGCTGTTGTATCTTTTTGATCGCTTTTCGTGATGCAGCAGTATGATGGTGCTGTTCTCGCGGACGGCGGCGGAGACGAGTTCGTCCTGGGGGTCCTTTCTTTTGCAGTCTGAAACCAGGGACGAGGCGCAGGGCGTGGGCGTTTGGGGGAGCCTCCGCTCTCTAACCGCGGGTATCTATTGAAAACGCCAAGAAGAAGAGGCCTCAGAGGGTCGAGGTCAAAAAAGCCATGTAGATAAAGGTCGTCTGGGTGGTCGTTTTTTCGATGATGCGGATGTCGAGAAGCCAAAAAGAAAAGCAAGATCGATGATGCGGAGGGGTTTGGGGATCCTCATGCAGGGCATCACCAGATCATTGAGGCGTAGTGTGTGTGTGTTGGGCTTAGCGTGTCAGCGACCAGCGACACGAGGCCGGCAGTGGCTGACCTGTGCACAGTGCAGGGAGGCGAGTTGGCTTTGCTGGCTGAGCCCTGTAAGGCTGTTGTTGTACCGAGTAATTCGTACCGGCGCCTACGTACGTACCTACCCACCTAGGTATCTAGCAGGCTACCTGTGTATAATTTTTTATTGTGTAACCTGTTTTTATCCTGAAAGAACAGACTACTTGGCACATATTGGAACAGAATCACCACTTTCGAAGGGCTGTAGACATCTGCTGTCGCCTACAGGGAGGTACTACCTGATGTAGGTACAGTGGGTGGTACCTAGGTTAGTGTACTAAGTGACCACCATTCCGTCCGTCCACCACTGACTTCCCACCACAAGCAGTTCCATCGGCTGAACGTAGCTCCAGACTCCGAAGGGGCCGCTGTCCAGCGGAAAAAAGTCACAACGCAACAAGCCAGTCGCGCGACCAATTGCCCACGACCAATTCAATCCGCTTTCTACACGAATTGCGCCCGCCCGCCGTCTTCTTTCGCGCCTCTGTTACTAGTTTCTTGCGTCTCCCTTTCAGTCTACCCACATGTTCCGCTCCCGATTAAGGACGTCCGGCCTGGCGCTCGCCCAGAGCCTGCGACCCTCGACGACGTCGACAGCATCCCGATTTGCCGCGCCGCTCGCCACACGCGCCATTCACCATGTCCCGACGCTGAAACACGACTTTTCCGAGGGCGTCCCCAGCCTCATGAGCCCGGGAGGCTTCAACATTGCCTGGTCAGAATACATGGCGCTGACGGTAGAGAAGCTCAACGCCCTGACAGCTGGTGCGTTCTCCCTGCTGGCTTGTAGCGCAAGCCAAACCGCGAGCGCTTTCTGTCTCGCGCCATTGGACGGGACACACCTCGCAGGGACTCTAGACTGACAGACAAATTGCTTCTCCCAGGTACCGAATTTGAAGACAAAGACACCAAGACCATCGCCCTCATGACCGCCCGCGAACCTAACCAGGCCCCCATCTTCAACTACGCCTCCATGGCGCATAACAACCACTTCTTCTTCCAGGGCATCGCCCCCGCCCCCGTCGCCATGCCCGAACAACTACGCGGCGAGCTCGAAGCCTCCTTCTCCTCCGTCGAGACGCTCCGTCGCGAGATGGTACTCACGGCCTCGGCCATGTTCGGCCCCGGCTTCGTCTGGCTCGTCAAGACCGGGCCGGCCGCCTACCGCGTCCTGTCCACCTACCTCGCCGGCTCTCCCTACCCCGGCGCCCACTGGCGCGCCCAGTCCACCGACATGAACACCGTCGGCGACCAGGGCAGCGCCCGCTCCTATTTCCGCAACCAGTTCCAGGGCACGCAACATCGCGGCGGCAACCTGGCGCCCGGCGGTATCGAGCTGCAGCCCCTGTTGTGCCTCAACACCTGGGAGCACACCTGGCTTCTGGACTGGGGCGTCGGCGCTGGTGGCAACGGTGGCAAGGCTGCGTTTGCAGAGGCTTGGTGGGAGCTCGTTGACTGGGAGCTTGTTTCTAGCCGAGCTGGTCTTACGCGCCAGGCTCTCAAGGGCGCCAACTAAGTGGAATGAATACTTTGGACTGGGGAGTGGCATACAGTGTACGGTAAATAGAAAAGCAACGGACAGCCATGAAGGAGATGGTGGAGTGACATTTGGTGTCAAAAATTGGTTAGAGACAAGGAGCTCTCACCACGAGATATGAAAATGCATCTCGAACTTGTACAATAATTGTATACTTGAACAGAGGTCGAAATATATACCAAAACTGTCAAATTAGTCCCAATGCTCATGTAATTTACCAGCCCTGGCAATGACATAAATGCTTCCATTCCTAGTCAAGTCACTATTAAATCACGATTCGGTCAAAGGTCGTTTCAAAAATATGTATTGCTACGGAAAATGCTACCTAATCAACTCCTACCCATGAATCCGACTTAAAACGAGGGAGCTTCCTCCGGAAGTGAGAAAAGCGAATGATTGAAATCTCAAATTGGTATACTGAATTTGGCTCGCGCCCGACTATTCCCTTCAAAATGCGAAGGGGAATATGGAATGTTAAAAAAGAAATGCGATCGATATGAAAAGAGATGCTCGGTTTCGATAGGACAAATTGGAATTTGATGGTTTTTTTTTGGGTGGTTGAAAGCAAATGGCAGTCGAGGCTGGCTCAGACGTATGCAAGGATGAAAAATGGAGATGGGATGAGATGAGATCAACATGAGAGATGTGAGAGTGAAAGGAGCAAGCAAAAAGAGGAGAAAAAAGGGGGCAAGGATGAGCGCTCAAATCATGTTACCGTTGACACTAATCTCAAAGCCGTCACCCTTTTGCTTCAGGGCCTTGGCAAGCATCATTTCGCGCATCCAGTCGATGCGGTCGTCGCGGTTCTTGACAGCAAAGTGGTGCGTCTTGCCGGTGCCGTTGACACCATCAGCAGACAGGCCGGCCGCCGCAGCGCTCATGGAGCTCTCGCGCTTCCGCAGCCGGGCGGTGTTCTTGTCCTGCGGGATCAGCTGGAAGCTAAAGGCGCCGACGGGGTCGCTCTTTTCGCGGCTGTGCGAGATGCTCACCGCCTTGAAGGCGGCGGTGAGCTTGGACGTGGACGCGAGGCTGGAGCAGGCAATGGCGTAGTCGTCAATGTCAATGTACTCGAGCGTGCGGTCCACGGCGGCCACGTCCTTGTGCATGTTGAGACGCGTGCCCTTGAGAGTGAAGTAGCCGTCGTGCCACTCGTTGCGCAGGAGGCGCGTCTTTCGCTTCTTCATCGGCCCCTGGAACGAGACACCGCCGATTGCGGGCGGCGCAGGCGTAGCCGTGACGGACCTCGTGACGCCACCACCACCACCAAGAAGCGAAGGCGTGCTGCTGCTGCTGCTCGTCGCGCTTCGTGCCACGTCGTCGCTTTGGTGCCGCTCGAGCGAGGACCACGGGTAGATGCCACGAGGGGGCGCCTGGAGCGGCGGCGCCTGTCGCACGAAGCGGGTGGCCGCGTGCGGCGGCAATGACTCCTGCGGAGACGGGGTGCGCGATGAAACACGGCCGGTGGTGGCGGCCCTGTGCTCGTTGACAGAAGGCAGCATGGGAAACGACGGCCGCCGGCACGAGGCACGAGACTGCGAGCGCGGTGGCTGCGGCCCCGGCGCCACGTTGTACCCAGGCGCGGCGCGATAGCTCATGTCGGGCGGCACCGACTGCGACGCGTCCCGTGCCACAGGGCCGAGGGGCACCGCGGTCACGGGCACGTCGAGCTCAGAAAAGGGTGTCCCGAATCTGTATGGGTTCCTGGGCGTCTCTAGGTCTGGCGATCGAGGATCTGCCTTGTTCATCATGTAGGGGACGAAGTTTTGCGAGTTGCTGCGCTGATGATGGTGTGACTGTTGTTGTTGTCTCTGTTGTTGTTGCTGTTGTTTCTGCTGCTGCTGGACGACTTGGTGTTGCTGCTGCTCCTGCTCCTGCTCCTGCTGTGGATGGTGTTCCTGGTGCTGGGGTGCCACGACGGACTGCTGCAACGTCGAGGCTCGTCGAGGCGCGGTCGAGCAGCGCTGGGCGTGGGCGTTGAGAGGGATGGACAGCTTGGGCAGGCGGCGGAGGCCGTGATGAGGCGCCTGCGCCGGCGGTGCGAGCTCAAAGGGAGGTGTGGGCGGCACCTCGTTGAGCGACGCGGCGGCGTCCTTTGTGCGCTGGAAGCTGAGGAACTGTCGCACGTTCTCCTGCGGATCCCGCGCCTGTACGCCGCGAAGGGCCGCCTCTTGCAGGTACTGCAGGGGCGGCATGCCGCCCGTGCCCAGAATGTCCGACGACGCGACGACCGAGGGCGCCGCGTCGGAGAAGGGGCGCACAATGTCCGCGTTGGGGTCAATGGCGCGCGCCGTCTCGGGGTTGCCCGCGTCGCCGTAGATGAGCACCTTGCCCGAGGCCGCCATGTCGACGTGCGGGTTGACGCGCCGGAACTCGTCAATGAGCCGCTGCTGCTTCCGCCACTTGCTGCAGTTCTCGCCCTTGGCGCAGCTGTGCGGCTTGGGGATCACCTGCTCGATGCCGATGATGGACACGGACTCGTACGGCATGATGCTGTCCGCGGCGGCGCCGGCCTCGGGGCTCCGTCGCTGGCGACGGCTGCTCGCGTGGCGCTTGGGCGCGGCCGAGGCCTGGTGGTCCTGCTTGCGCGCCTCCTTGCGCACCTCGCGGCTCGGGCAGTCCTCAATGGGCGTCCCGGGGCGCGAGTCGCGGGCCCTCTGCTGGCTGTCGCGCAGCGTCTGGATCTGGTGCCAGATCTTGGTGCGGATGCCAAACGACGGAATGTCCAGCTCGCGCAGGTCCTCAAACTTGAGCGTGATGAGAATCGGCCCGTTGATGTCGTTCTCGATGAAGCGGTCGGCCATGGGCACTTCAATGCCGGCATTGAGCATCGACTGCGCCACCATCTCCGGCGTCCAGGACACGAGGCTGCCCGTGTCCAGCTCGTCCCGCGTGTACTGAAACGGCCCGGCCTGCGGGAGCGGTGGGTGCACTGTGATCTCGCCGAACCCGCGGGGCTTGGGCGTGATGGGCGACATGCCCAGAACGAGGCTCTCGTCGGGCATATGGTAAAAGCCATAGTCAGACGAGGAGGGGTGGAACAGGTGAGGGCCACTCGGGCCTTCGATTTGCTTGGGCGAATGCTCGAGACGACTCGATCTAGGCGTCAAGGCCTCGTCAAAGGAGTCGAGCGTTGTTTGACCCGACTGGGTCGAGGTCAGCAAAAGTTCCCGCTGGAAGGTGTGCAAAGTATACTCACGGATTGGAAACTACCGCGAGGCGAACTGTCTTCGGCGTCCGACAGGATTGTGTCTTCTTCATCCCAGTCCGTATCGACAAACTCTGTGGTGACAGACGTCGGTCTGTACCCTTGCGAGTCATTGATGAGGTTGAAGAAGGTGTCCTGCGGTGCCGGCTTTTGACGCATTTCCGAATATGTCCGTCTTGGGCCGGACCGGAATTGTGCGTACTCCTGCGGCGAGAAGCATTAGCAAAATGAGGCGCAAAGATCGCCCGCCGCATCTTGTCGGTTCTTACCATTGTATGTTTTTTTTTTCTTGCGATTTAGAGCGAGTGCTTGAAAGCTCTACTTTGGACCAACCTGAGCACCTGGAGCCCTAATATATAAAGGTGAGGGGGCTTATGCGGTGGCCGGGCTGCTGTTGCCAGCGGTGAGACAATTCTAGGCGTATAAGCCGGTTATAGTGTAACAAGTTGCCGTGAGACTCGAGTGTAGAAACATTTAAGGAAAATGACAAAAATGTCGTGAGAGACGTGTACGCTTTGCAAAAACTCGAGAAGGAGGATCAAGACGGATGCGGCGCAAGTGGCCCACGGAGCGTTATGTATGCTCTTTACACGGCAAATGGCTGGATTATCGACTGTGACCGCTGTCTCGAAGCGCCAGAGAAAACGTTGGGGCGTGGGAGAGAGAGCAGAGCAGGGTGTGTGACGGGCTGCCACGGACTACTACTGGTAGTTCCATGCCTGCACCGCCAGTCCAGTGAACAAGAATAGAATGAGTGACCAGCCAATGTGTACAGCACAACGCACTAGAGCGCCACGGCGGGAGGGGAGGGGGGGGGTTGTCCATGTCAGGAGGGTGTGCATGTGTATCAGTAACTATCTGTGTTTCCTTGCTTGTGCGCGGGCACGGCACATTCACGATGAACCTAGGGTGCCCAGCAAGTCCCATCCAAGGGATCACGGCGCCACAAGACCAGAGTAACTAGTTAGTTATCCCATCAGAAGTCACGAAAAGGACCGCGGGAGGGATAAGGACCCTACGAATGCTACCTGGTAGCATGTATGGAGTACGAGGGGACTCTTGGCCAGCCCCCAGCGCCGCTGATGAGGGGCAACATGGCGAGCTCATTGGTGTAAAAGAGGTACGTTGGCGCCGGGTGCGGCCCAGGGTACGGCGCGAAGAGAAGCATCTCCATTGGATGATGCACAAGAGGCCTGCATGTTGGAGGCAGCGGCCCAGACCACCTTGGACTTTGTACCAAATAGGGATCCCTGACATGCCGCTCTGCAAAGTACGTACATGAATGGACTGCTTCATGCATGAAGAAGGTTGGGCCAAGTGGCGTGCATGTCGATGCCACCGACGATTCGATTGCAATTGTTGCGCATAGCACGGGAAGCAGGGGTATAGCCGACGAAATATACAAATTACATGTTTGTTACTGATAGATGGCTCATGGAGTACTGAATAGGCCCGGGTTACCGGTTCACGGTTACCCAAAGAGATGCACCAACTATACGGATTATCATAGTGATTTATCGGGCGCACGTTTCCGATGAGTTGTGGTGAGAACTACGAATTATTAGATTAGTAAATCCATAATAACTACCTAGTACTATTACCAAGTAACAATAGCTTCTCAACGGTGTTCCGCTCTTCGCCGACCGCTCGACTTTCTCCCCCTGGGCAGCCGGCCCTCTTGATATTTTTTTTCTTCCTTTTTCGCTCCTTATTCATTTATTCTGTAATGCATGCAGCCACCTCGATGGTTACTGGGTCAATGGTCGAATGGGGTCAAGCCATCGCTGCAGCAGGACGGGCGGGGAGGGAAACCTCCTCGCCAAGTTGCCAGTCCACAACTAGTACGACTGCCCACTCACACAGCGTTGGATCAACAGCGGCATTATCACGTTTCTAGAGGCCCTGCACGGCCGTTCTGCCAGTAAAGAGCTCGCATGCAAAACTGCCGTGTGACGGACAGACATGAGGCTTGAGAGCGGGCGGCTCCAACGTTTGGGTATGACGGACCACCTTGTAAAAATCGCCTGTATATAAGGAAGCCAGCGGTCGGCAACATCGGTGCTCGCCAGACACGGGCGAGAAGATGGCATCGTCAGCCCTTTCTTTTTGGTTTTTACAAGACAGATAAAGAGCCGATTCAAAGGGCTGCTTCCCAGCCTTTCCCGCTCCCCTCTCCACCCTTTGCCGTGACTCACGGCACTTGCAACAGACAGACCCCCCATCCGAGACCCATAGTCTATCGTCTGGGGGGGGAACTAGCTAGCGGAATGGACTCCGTGGGACAGACGCCGACAACCATCTCAAAGTCAAAGAAGGGTCAGCATGGGTGAGGAGAATGAGAGTGGCAGGTTGTACAATACGAATACAGCCCGGCAGGAAGTCATCTTGCAGCGATCAGAGAGCCACGAATTGATGCTCATGTTGCACGGCATGTTTTTCCGTGCATGAAAAATATGTAGCGACCATGCAGCTGGCAACGCCTGCCTCTGGCTTGGGGAAGAGGAGAAGCGACGGCAACTGGCGACGGGCAATTGGGCCGAAAGATTCAAGACGGCGGCGGGTAGCTCGGGCATTCTCCTGACCGACAGAGATTTATTAAGCAGGATCAAAGAGCCACATGCAATGGAGCTCGTCTCGTGGAATGCTGGTAAGCCTATCTAAGACGGGAGTCTGTCCGGTTCAACGGCTTGCCACATTGCAAACAAGACAATTCTTTGACACTTTGACAACCAACTACGACACTTGTGGGTGTACAGACAGCTCGACCTCTCTTTGCCTCTTGCCATAAGCGACTGGTTCAGCTGCTGGCGATCCTTGTGCTGTTCTACACATGACTTACACCACAAGCCTCGTCATGGGCTACCCCCAGTCGTCGCATGGCGCCACTGCCGTTGTCTGCAACCCGCAACGGCCGTTGCCGACTGCGGGATACGAATACCCTATACTGATTTATCCTAGATATAGGTGCTTTTTTCTGTTGAGGAGTGAGGAAATCGGGCGACAAGAGGGCGGCGGTATTCCGAAGGTCTTGTCTCTGGCGAGTGAGGCCCCAGGCTGCGACATGCATCGAGTGTATTTCTAGGATGTTTGTCCGGGGTCCACACCGGCCACCGAAGAGACAAGGTCCAAAAATGTCGCAAAGAAGTGAGGAACCTTTTGTTCATCCTTGCCCTGTCAATGGGCGATGGAGAGACAAAGACGGGTGGCGGGGGGGGGGGAGGGGAAAAGAGGGTGTGCCGTTAAGCCACAATAGACAGGGCCAGGGGTCAAGGCTCTACCGCACTGTGTCGCACTGTACCACACTGTGTCTCGCTGTGCCTCACTATTACTACAATAGACGAAGCCAGCTTTTCACGACCTTGTCGGCATTCACCACACACAACATAACCATGGCCATTTGACCACCAGCAACCCACACCTCCATCATCGATCCCCATGCTCGCCATGCAACGATGCTAACTGCTCTGAGGAGGACTAGCCACTGGCAAGGCCCTTGTCCCGGTCGACTCCGCAGTCCGTTGCACGTTGAACGTGCTTGTTTGCTCTTCCTATGCGGTACGAGATAGTCGTCGCTCTAGCCTCGTTGCGGCCTGGCTTCTCTCTCGCGCTCTCTCTGCTCTTGACGCCATCTCTTGGTTTAGGCATTTTCCCTGACTTCCGAAATTGCAGCGTAGCAGCCCTCTATCTACGCCAACAATCGTTTAGCTCGCTCCATTCGCCCTGTTGAGGATGAGGCGTCCGCCTGTCAGAACCGGGTGTAACGCGACACCATGGACAACAAAAGTAACCAGGATTCGTTGCTTCGGGGTCAAGTGATGCCCAAGCAAGCCAATTTCCGTCATGCCCAATGGACGACCGGCGATGAGCGTTGCTCCCCCTGCCCATTGGCGACTTTGCAAGCCATCTCTTAACCGCTAGTTGCAAGCCACGCCGGCCGCCGCCATCCTGCATGGGACAGATTGCCGGACTTTTGCCAATTGAACGAAAAGAGCAGATTCGCGGGTGGAGTGCAGGCTGGAGAGAAGAGCCCATGCTGCTCGCTTGTGGTTCTTGTCGGCCTTGCATCCTGGATGGGAAGCGAAGACACGGATCCATGTCATGATTTCATGCTGGTCAGTGGCTCTAGTTGCTGGATTCATGGTCGTGATTGATCACGGCAACGCCCCATTCTGTACTCGGCACTCCGTATTGCGGCACAGATACACACACACGCACACACGCACACACATGTTCAACGCTAAATTGGGCCCGTTCCATGTCGAGGTCGAACCAGAACGACTTGCAGATCCTCACCGACTTGTTCAAAACTGCATTTTGCGGCGTCTTGGTTCAGCCCAGCAGCATGTCTTGTGATAATATGCAGCGGCATCCTTTTTACCCACTGCAATGTAGGTTTCGGAACGCATCGCTCCGTACGGCAAAGCGCTACTCTACGATGCCTCAGAGATGGACCGACGTCAACAGATTTGTCACCGACTCAGGCTCCGGGAGATGGCCCGTCAAAGGCATTCTAAACGACGTGCTTTAAAGCAGCGGTTGATCCTTTTTTTAGTCGTGCTAAAATGGCGTCGGAACTGCTGGGGTTTTCGGCCGCGCTGCGATAAGCTACAGAAGCCATCACCGGGCTCGGCAAGACACTTCCCCGCCCCATCACCGTGCGCATAGTCTGCCCCACGAACCGAGCCAGACCCTAGCCTAGCACGTTGGTTTGACTCCTAGTCACTATCGAGTGACTAGTTAGTTCTTCTAGTCCGGCCTGTTTGGTCCACAACGCTCTAAGGTTGTCTATCAAAACTAGAAATCGTCCGTTGGAAAGCTAGCCAAGGAAATGACAGAGCAAGACTCACGATAAGCGTCATGGTGCTACCACACGGTATGTAGCACAGATCACATAGAGTACGCAGTGCGGTGCACATCCCACACAATGCACCTGCTTCAAGCAGTAGAGAGTTCCACTACACCACTTTGTCGACCAAATAGCACAAGTTCTAGTCAGGCCGTCTTGATGGATACTTTGAAGAAGCATGGCATTGACCACTAGCGAGTGCAGTCTGACGAGCAGGTACAACGACATGGCATGACATGATGCAGGCACTGACCAAAGCTCACACTGTCGCATTTCTAGGAACCAAATTCACGACTGGGTGGCTTGCCACATG